GCGATTTTGAGGTTCAACCTAGAGAAAGAAATCTGGTTCGTTCCATCACTTCTTCTTCTCTTTCTCGTTTCGATTAGATTTCCAATCCTTGGGCTTTTGATTTTCAATCTAGATTCGGCTTTGATTTTGGGTTTGTTTGCGAAATCTTTCCATCACTTCATTTTCGTTTCGATTAGATTTCCAATCCTTGGGTTTTTGATTTTTAATATAGATCCGACTTCGATTTTGGGTTTGTTTGCGAAATCGTTCCATCACTTCTTTCTCGTTTCGATTAGGGTTTCAATTTTTGATTTGTTTTCGATATATTGTTGGGTATTGAATCTTGGATCTTTGGATTTTGTACAGCAACGATGGGGAGAACTTTCAATTACAGTTTAAGTTCTTCATCCGCTAGCATCCGCAGTAGATGTCGAGAAGCTGATGGAGAGTACGATATTCCGGTGAGTCTATGTTACTGTGGTGGACGAGTAGTTGTCCAGACTTCCCGGACTGATCTAAACCCGGGAAGGAGGTTCTTCACTTGCAAGAACAGTGAGGTAAAGATCCGGATTGTAGTGAGTAATACATTGACCGATAAACATTTAGGATTGATGTATATTTAATGTGTAGGAAGGAGGTGTTCACGTTTGGAAATGGTGGGACGATGCCGTTATGGAGGAATTCAACATCATCAAAGTCCGATTAGATGAGGCAGCTGGGAAGATTCGGAACCTGAAAGTGTTTGGGGGGACGACTCTTCATAATACTGAATTCCTTGCCATGAAGCAGCGCCTAGTGGAGTATGAAGCAAAGCTGAAGGAGTTGGAGTTGGAGTTGCTTGCCAACCGAGGTGTGAAGGAGTGGATGCTCAAGTTTGCGATTGGTGGACGACTTATTGGGTTTGCAGTCATATCCACTGCAATTCTCCGTCTCTTTAAGTAATATCTATGTTATCCATATCTATGCTATCTACTTTATGCTAGGAATCTGGATCTAGACTAAGACTTAATATCTTAATATGCCATGAATCAATATTTTGTAATTTATTGTGCTCTATGAATCAACGTTATGTTATGGAAG